CTGCAAAAAGTATACATAATATTTTATTCCCTGTTGTAGGCTGTAATGAATCTGCTGCCTCTACATCCTAGGAGGTTTTCACTTACTTTCCCCATGATAATTTTAATATGTGGAACCATTATTAGCTGAATTAAGAATAAGTAAATGAGCAGTAAAAAAAAAAAAATACAGAAAAATTACAGGTGCCTGTGGTGAGTAAGATAATAACTAGGTAAAAATATATGAAATAATTACAGTGTTTGAACGGCAGAGCCGGCATGAGGAAAATGACTTGATGGAATATTAAGCTTGCTGTTGGCAGGGTAGAAAGGCCATAGCTTTACCTCTTCTGACTCTCAACCCTAACACCTCACTGGAAACAGACCCAGTTGGTCCCAAGCCACATACATCTACGTGATGCTCAAGGAGCTGGTCCAATTCAATGAAGAGTCTGTCACTCTGAAAGTCTGTGTTCCTGTAGATTAAATACCCAATAACTAAATGATTCTGTTTAAAAGATGTACCAGACGTTTTGGTGTTTGTGTAGACTTAGTCAACCTGGTGATATTGAATATGAACTTGTTTAGAATGTATCTACAGTCTGTATTTCACATCTCGACAAGACGGAATTTCAGATAACTTAGATAAAGGGTTTTAAAGAGCTGTGGTGATTAAGGTAAAACCTTTTTTTTTTTTTTTTAGAAAATTACATTATATATAGCACTCCAAACAATGTGATTGAATTGTTTAAGGTAACCAGTCAATCAGCAAACACTTGCAGCTTTTTGGGTTTCCATATGCCCAGTCCTTGACTAGAAAATGTAGAAATTCACAATGAGTTTAAGAAATGGTTCCCGCTGTTAAGGATTCTGATTTAATGTTCCCAGATAGTGAGAAATCTTATTACCATAACAAGAGAAACCTCATGTTAGGATTTGAATGGTCAGTAGATTTAAGAATGTTTGGTTAGTAGTGGTGAGCTGCTGCTTTCTAAATCAACAGATATGAGATAAGAGAACTGGTCGAAACTATAGCAGAGAGGATCTAGTTCAGACATTAGAATTTCTGTGCCTCCCTGACATCAGATTGTCAAGGCTGCAGCAACTAAGTATTGATTTCCTGTATGTGCTTTGTGGTCTTTGAGAATTTGGGAAATCAATTTCTACATCTCAGACAGATTTCCCTGTTATCCAACCTAATTCTGCTGTATAATATATGTTAGCATAAAAGAATATTAATGTCAGACAAAACATAACAGCATAAACAGGTAAACAGAGTACTAGGGAGGGAGATAAAAGAACTGAGTTCTAGTCCCAAGAATTCCATTGATAAATTTGGAAAAATCACTTCATTCTACCTCAGTTTCCTTACCTCTAAAATGGTGGAGTTGAAGGAGATATAATCAAAGGGCTTTTGCAACTCACAGATTCTAGGACTCTGTGAGTTATCTAAAATGTACTGTGTGTCAGTGATAAGTTTGGCCACTTCAACTATTATGGCCCTTTAAAAATTGTTTAAAATAACAATTCAGTGCATAATTCTAGATTTTCTTACAGACTTTTAACTAGCACTTTATGAGATGCCAGAACCATGTTCTTTTTTTGTTTCTCCTTTCCCCCATGAATTCAAGCAGCCATATTACTTCTTACCTGAATCCAACTGCCATGATATCAGGAGTCATGACCTTATTCAGTACAAGTATTTTCTGATCATTTGGGGGGGGAATCATTGAATTATTATATATTTTATTTTCTTTGCTAACCTACTCTTAACATAGACATTAGCAAAGTATATATTTCAGATAGTGTTCTTCAGATGTTAAAACTATCTTATGTGTGTGGCATTCATTGATAATCTTGTCTAAATTGTTATTTTTCCTGGAAAAGAGTTAGATTTTTATTCACATCGGACTTTCTCCCTCAAATGGGTAATTTGTTTTTCCAGTTTTAGCCAGAGAAGCTAATGGTCTCTGCAAACTTCCTGTTGTGTTTAAATTTATGAACATACTACATTTGAAATGTGACTCATTTTAGGTTGCATTTTTGACATCATACTGACACAAGGGAACTGGTGGGATGTTCTTTATTTTTTGGCTACTCTCTGAAGGGAATATAGTTTTTCCTCTCTCCCCACCTTTTTTTGTAGGAGTTTAATAAAATCTAAAAAAAAATCACATAAATTCTTCTAAAAGCTTGAGAAGATTGTTATGGAATAAAGAGAAGTCCCAGCACCTCACCTGTAACCATTTCGGGTATAATCAATTACATATACAGTCTTCTCTGTGCCCCTTAAGAACCTGATTCAGCAGACTGCTCAGGATTGGAACCGTGTGTTGCTGAGGGAGGGGCAGAGTCCTTGAGCACATGCCTGGATTCAGCTATAAAAGTGGTATTAACCCCACCTCGATTTTAGTAAATAGATATCTATCTGTCAGGGGAAAGGCAAGACTTTGTGAAAAAAATCAGCGCTTCCTTTTGTTTCTCCAGAGGCAAAAATACTTAACTTTCATGAGAAAGGAGAAAGCCGTTTCCCCCAGGTTTAGTCTATTCAGGCTCCCAGGAGGGAGTTACTTACCCACAAACAGCAACGGGCGCTTGCCCAGCCTTGGTTTAGGTATTCAACACGCTGAGTCAGCTCCAGGAAACTTAGAACTTCAGCCAAAAAAAAAAAAAAAAATTCCATGAGGATTTTTGCTTTCCAGATGCAATTATTCTTAATAATTTCATGAACCCAAGCACTAATGTCTTGTCCCTATAGCCACTGTTTGGGGCTTTGGGAATGGCGATAAGAGAAAGAGCCCTGTCTAGATTTGTAAGCCCTGCCATTGAGTCACTAAACAACGCAGGGCAGATCTCTTCTCTCTGACCCTCAGTTTCCTCATCTGTAAATATTTCCCCTTCAGGTTTGTAGAAAGCATTGTATGATCATGTGAGCACATTGAGCATATGTATTATAAATAAACTGTCAAGCTCTACACACATTTGAAGTGTTATTATGCTAGTCCTTCCAGTCAGGTAGTCTATCTTTTATTGTCAACAAAAGTCAGATTTCCCCAGCAAGAAAGAGGATAAGAAAGATCTTTGTCCTGACCCACAAAGACAATGTCGATTTACGTCTTCTGTAGGAGGACCCAAGAGATTAGCTACAGATGTGCTGCTAAGATCTCTGTATCCAAAACATAAGCATTTGTATTGTTTCCTGGAAAGTTAGAATTATAGCCACTTATTTTCAACTTGATATTTCAAACCATTTCAGTCTTATACAAATAGGAAAGACTCCCTCTCTCTCTTTCACTCACTCACTGACTCTTAGGTGAACTAGTACTTTTTTTTTTTTTCCATCTGTCAGGAATTACTCATTTGGTACCCACCATGTGCCTACTATGCTGCTAGGTACTATAATTAATAGTTATAAAATATAGTGCCCAGCATTGCAATTCTTTGGAAAGAAAAACCGAAGTTATATGTACATACAAGCAAGAGACCAAAGGGTTAATCAGCAAAGAAATAATTTTCACATAAAGTGATCTTTCTTCCCTTTTTTTTTTATTGTAAGTTCAGAGAGAATTGTAGCAATACAGGTTGAGCAATTTTCTTTTTTATGAATCCCGTGCTCAATTTATGAAAGCCATTTTGCAACCCATTTACATGCAGTAAACCTTTGCTTTAAGGTTTTGTCATTTACCTTGATCATGATTATTTATAGTCCCTTTAGAGAAGGCCCTTTGCTGGTGTTGCTCTCAAGCACAGCCCTGCCATGAGGCAGGCTTCTGCGGTGCCTTTTAAGTCATGGTCGAAACCTAAGGTGCGGCCAGTCTTCTGGCAGCTATGAAGCCCTGGGGGTGTTGTGTAATGCGGAAGAAAACTGGTTGGAATTAGGAACCTTGGATTCAAAACCAACTCTACGTCCGTTGCTGTGTAATCCTGACCATTTATGCTTCTTTACTATCAGTTTGCTCCCTTGTAGAAAGGGAACAACGCTTTCATCTCAAAACTATAAAGTAGAACTTACCTGAGGTACTGTATATGCAAGTTACCATGTAAGTTATAACGAGGAAATTGTTCTGTGAATTAATTATCTGTAATACGAACTACTGTAAGTCACTGAAAAAGGAACAGTCTGTCTAATCTAAAATCTTCCTTGACCACACACTATATTTTCCCTACTGTAATCCACATGAAAATGTAAACTGACACACACAGTAGATACTCAGTTAAGTATTTGTTGTATTGATAAATAAACAAAATGTCCAGATAAAAACCACTGTGCTAGACATGGTACAGAATACAAGACAAATCATCTATCACCCCAAGCCTCAAGGAGCTTATAGTTTAATTAAGATGGCTAGCCATACAGTCACAAAAAGCCAGTATGAGTTAAGTTGTGGTTCTAGACAAGAAAAGAAGGAATGGTGTAAAAAAAATATGCCTGGGTCCCTCACCAGATGATCAACACAATAGGAACCTTTCCTCTTCCTAACACTGGGTGAGCTTATCTTCCTCCAGCTCCCTTTCCACACCCCCACCCGTGCGCTCTGTATCACTCACAGCTCCGGCATTACTAGATGCCCACTTGCAAGGGTTTGATTAAAATGCATATAATGAAAGGAATTATAGAGATGTGTGCAGAATTATGGGAACCAACAAGAAATGGCAAGGAACCCAACAAAGACAAGCAACAGCAGGACACATTACCACCCCTAGAGATGAAGGGCAAGGTGGAAGGCAGGCAGGGAATGTGATGACAGCCTGATGAGAGCTGGAGCTAGGAGTCCGATTGGAGCCATGCAAGTCTAATTCCTTGGGCAACTATCAGGTCAAAGCCTGAAGGTGTTACAAAGGTTTGTATGCATTTGGTCCAGAATTTTTAAATGGGTGGAGCTTTTCTTGAGGGCCCAAGGGAAGAAATGAGTTCATTCAAAAGATTGGCTTTCTGAGTGTGGACTCTGTCACTCTCGGCCTTTGCAAGTAGCATAGTGAAATTAGTGAAATGGTTAAATGTCTTCCTTGACCCCTCGGCACTTACCACGCACAGCCTTCACAAGGTACAGAACAGGAGAAAATGGATTATGCCCTCAACAATAAGAGGAGAGTCATCCGCCTGGTTTTACAGTGGGCCGCCATGTATGGAGACGTCCTACAAGAGGATGACGTGGCTATGGCTTTCCTGGAGGTATGTGGTTTCCTCTCTTCCAAGGATACATCCTTGCCCTATAATACAGAGACTACCCATAGGCACAGCAGCTTCCCTGGAGAGACTGTAATTGCAAATTCTAGACTTTCTTAACATGTTCATTTCTCAGAAAGGCACTATACGAAAAGAAAAGCATCATCCATTAGCCTGCCACTCTAATTCTGTAATTGGTAGCATTTTAATGTATTTTCATTTGGTCTCTTTTTCTTTGTATGTTTTCCGTAGTTGTAATCACATAGGCTCACCTTCCTTCTGTGCAGGCAAAACACAATGTGGCTTCTATTTCAAACTTGATCAGTCTGTATGTTCAAGAATGAATGATACAAAAGAAACACGCCTCTCTCCTTTTTAACCGTATCATTTGTCAGGTAGAGAGAGGTGAGGCAGGGAGGAAGGGTGGACCATGAGAGTCTTTTAAGGCTATGGAATGACTTTTGGAAATGTGAAGGTATAATAGTTGGTCGGGGTCATAACTTGACTCGTGGCCTCTACCCACAGAGTAAAGGACCATTTTGCTGATGAACCAAAGTGGTGGTGAAGCTGGCACGGCCACAGCTCTCAGCTTCTGCTGTGGAGGCCACGGCCCCTGAACAAAGCAGGGGACTTTGTGTGCTGCTGCTGCTGCTGCTGCGGTCAGGACAGTTCCCAGAACCTCTGTAGACCTGAGTTGGTGACAAACTCAGCATAAATTCAGTACAGTGCTGAAGACTCTGCCTGCATTTTTACCACCAACAACTAACCATAATGGTTAATTGACTGGTCAATATTAAATATGACCAATATAAGTGGTCAATATTAAACAACAAATACTAAAATAATATCAAAATAAATATTAAAATTCTCCTGAAAAAAATATTGAGGTGAAAAATGTGCTCTTAAAAGGTAGACTATGAAATTACCCAGTCCAAAACACTGCATTACATTGCCTTTCATATAAATATCATATAAACAATTCATTTGCAATTAAAATTTTAAAAAAAATTGTTTTGTCGTAAAATATAACCAACATAAAATTTGCCATTTTCACCGTTTTTAAATATACAATTCAATGGCATGAATTACATGCACGATGTTATGCAACCATTACTTACCTCTTACCCATTTCCAGAATCTTTTCGCACTTGCAGTTTTGACGTTAGGCGTATTGTACCATTTTTCCTTTTTGTCTCCAGTCCGTGAAACCATGGTCTGGAGATGCTAGCGAAGCAGATGACACAGGGACACATTTTGATTGCTCTTTACAGAACTGGGTGCCTTTTATGGTTCTTGTTAAAAGCCTGTGACCTTTGCCAATTACAGGAGTTTTATGTGTCTGTATCAGATGATGCCCGGATGATCGCTGCCCTCAAGGAACAGCTGCCAGAGCTAGAGAAGATCGTCAAACAAATGTAAGGAAGGGCTTGGCTGTGGGGTACACCTGCTCTCAATAAAAGCATCTTCCACAAAGCCATTTGCCCCCCAAAAATTGAAAGCTGGTTTTTCAACAGCCACATCGTGTTCTGATTTGAGCAGAGTGGGCCTCGGGTATAGATGGTGCCATAAGGCCAGACGCACAAGAGGACTGAGATTCTGCTCAGCCACCTCCTAGGCTGGGCGGCTGCCAAAAGAAAGCCTGGAGAGGAAAAGATCCTCCTTTGAGGCGTCTTACTCAATAAACATGGGTCCCTGTGGTTCAAAGCAGTGAATCCAGCAATAAAAGGGTCAGTGGCATTTAAGGAAAGTTTGAGGGGGGCTGCGTATGTGGAAAATGCACTTTCTGCTGCCAAAGCTGGTGATGGTGAATATTTGTGTCCTCTCAGACAAGAAAACAGGTTTTCACATGCTGTCCCTTGAGCCACAGATTAAATACAGGAGAGAACGCATGCTACTACATAGACTCTGAAAGCTAAAAACCCTGGCTTTTAGCATCAGCTCCACCAGGGATCTGCCTGTGACAAGAACTGATCCCTTTGCTGTATCCTCCATGCTTTGGTCTCTTAGTATTAAGATAAGGAGGCTCCTACAGCCTCCTGATAGGTTCCTTTTCTAACATAAGATTAAAGCTATACACCAATGAAGCAATTTCAAATAAACAGTACCCACGGTATTAAATAATGTGCTTTCTCTGTTTCTCGTAGTTCAGAAGATGCAAAGAATCCACAGAAGAAGGTAAGTGGTGATGGGTTAGGATTCTCTAATTACCTGTGCCCTGTAGAAGGACACTTCTCCAGAAATATTATATTGCAGTATAGAAAAGTGATGTTTTTGTCAATACAAAATGTTTTCTTCATTCCTTGATTCTGACTGCTTCTGAAGTGTGTTTCCTCTGACTTGCAAACGTGCATCAGTCATTCTCCTTTTAAGGCCGCGGCTGCTCTTATTTTCACAGCACAAAGTTCTGTTGCAACAGTTCAACACAGGCGATGAGAGAGCCCAGAAGCGCCAGCCTATCCGTGGCTCTGACGAAGGTGAGAATTCTCTTCCCACTTAGGATTGTTTCAATTATTTGAAGTCAGAATAAAATCTTCCCCCGGGAATCATCACCTTGGACCCACAGAATAGCTTTCCTTGGGGTACGCCTTTGCTGTCCAGATGGTTCACTTGGAGGAGCCTTTTTGTATTCCAGTTATTTTTGTTCTTGGACTCTGTGCCCAGAGCTGACATGCTCATCCACACTTCCCTGATTCTGCCTCTCCCCTGCCACCACCTGTCCTTGAAGGAAAGAAAGGTTATCTCAGGGACCAGTTATCAGGGTTCCCCTGCTCTGGGAAGAGCTGGCGGGAAGGTGGCTGGCCCTTTGCAGACGCCTAGCAGAGGTGGGGTGCCAGGGTCATCTGCAGAGCGGGGCTCCTGCCCAGGGAGCACTCTGGCCATGAGCACAGCCTTGATAGCAGCCCTCAGGCAGGTACAGATCCTGGCTGTTACTGTTTGCTGATTTAAGATTTCTCCGAAGAACCCAAACCAAAATTAAGAACTGATACAAATTTTTATTTTAAGCCACAAATGAATCTTATAATTTAGAAGTGCTTCTAAACCCAAGAATTGCAGCACCTGGAATTGCTTCCAGGTTTTGTGTGTTCAGAGGTGAGCCTGTGGGTGCCACATATGTGTCTGCTGACCTAAATGCTGCCCAAGCTATGTGGCCAGGCCCCAAAGTACACACACCAGTAAACAAGAGAGCAGGAATGTCAGCATATGTTCGCTGCCCCAGGCAGAAGCACTCCTGCTTACAGAGGTGCTAATGTTGGTGCCCCACTGCCACTCCAGGCAGCAGTCATCTTAGTCATCAGCCTACAACACAGCAACTCCCTGTATTGTGAAAAAAGAAAAGCTCGCAGACAAGGGCAGTCCCAGAAAACTGACTGAACCATACTTCTCATTTTTTCCCATGACCTATTTGTGGGGTTTTCGCAAACTCCTTGGGGATGACAGCCATGGGTCCACCTATTCTTAGATCGGTGCTGAGGTAAGGGGTTTTAGAAGGGCAGGCATAGGCATTGATGAGTGCAAATAAATACAATAGTAAGAATGTCAAGATGATGCAAATATTGGAAGATATCTAAACAATTGCATAGCATATGGTTTTCTTAAGAATTCCCAAGACCAACTGACCACGTTGCTGCTGCCTTCCCAATAGTTCTGTTTAAGGTCTATTGTATGGACCACACCTACACAACCATTCGGGTGCCGGTGGTCGCCTCAGTGAAGGAAGTCATCAGCGCAGTTGCGGACAAACTGGGCTCTGGGGAAGGCCTGATCATAGTCAAGATGAGTTCCGGAGGAGGTAAGAGCCGTGTTTAGTACTTTGGGCTTCTGCAACATGGGATATCTGATCCAAAGAGAAACTCCATCAAGAGTTAGCGTAGCCCTTCCAAGCTGATCCAAAGGGACAAATTGGGGCTGCGTATCTTCCCATAAATAGCAAATAATATGGATAGAAGTGAGCTGGGTAAGTGTCTAATATCCCCTATCCTGTAGGTACCCACTGTAAAGCAAAAAGAGGTGAAGTGATCTATCCGAGGCAGCTGGAACTGAGAATGCTGGTGTGGATGTCAGCCTGGAGTTCTTTCCATATAAACCCTTAAACAAAAAGCTTAAGGCTTTGGATCTCTGAGAAACATGGACACTAACAGAGCATCTAGCTTGACAAGCCGAAGTCTGAAGTTGGAGGTGGTCATAGGCTAGTTCTCTTCAGCTGATGTTGGTCCCCCTCCTTACCAGATAGAGATTGCAGGAACCCAGCTCATTGAAGAAAATGAGGAGTGTTTTGCCCACTGGATTACCCTATGCTTTCCTGAAATGTCATTTATTCATTCATCGCATATTTGCTGGCCACTTAGTGTGGTTGTGCCAGAAGAGGATGAGTTGGACACAGCCCGTGCCCCCAAGCTGCTCCAAGGCATCTTGGTGAGGAGGAAGACAGTAGATAAACAATTAAAATCCATGCCAGCAAGAGTTTAGGAACCATCAGTACCTGTGGCAGGAAGAGCCAGGAGGAACGAGGCAGTAAGGTTAGTTTAGCCAGTAGTGAATAGATAGCCATTTGAGGAATCTCTCAAGATGGAGTGAGCCATTTCTGCCATGTTTGAAGACAAATGGTTCCACTGATGTAGGATTTTCAAGGGCATGGTGGACTCCCAAGACTTCTCTTTCCATTTCTGTCCCAGCCTCACGAGCCCAGGATATCTGTCTTCGCTAATCCGTGGGGCGCATTCTTCCCATAGCTATCCCAGGTCCCTCCCTCACTTCCTTCAGATCCGAACCCAAATGGCAGCGGCTCCCTGAGGGCCTCCTACCTTTCCTTGATTGTCTTTCTAAAATTGTAACTGCTCCCCCTTAAACAAACTTGCTAGCCTCCTTCCCTGATATATTTCTTTCTCCTCATCTCTTCTCACTGTCTAGTATATTTGTCTTGGTCACTGCACCCCTCACTATGAGGTAAGCTCTTCTTGGACTGGGATTTTTTTTCTGTATCTTTCCCTTCTGTGTCCTCATTGCCTAGAGCAGAGTCCAGCATGTAGTAAATGCTAAATAAATATGTATTGAATGAATTTATTTTTAAAATATAGAAGGCGTAATCTAGGTAATGCAATTGACCTCCAAATTAGGAAATAAGTGAAAAATAATAAATTTTGCAACTAAAGTCATATGGGATCTCAGAAATGTCCTCCCCACCCCCACCCCCACCCCCTAAGTTTTCTAAAAGTGATATTTCCATCTCCAAAGTGCTGGGCAGGATTACCATCTGGAAAGATAACTTGTTATATAAATAGCAACTGTGGGTCTCATATGTAATTACAGTTACAGCACAGCACTGGGTGAATTGACCCTCGGGCATTTCCGGGCCTGTTTGGTGGTCATTTCTGATGGCACCCTGAATATCCTGTGCCAGTGTGAATGCTGTGTCTTTTTTATTCAGCGGGTCCCTTCCGTGCTGTATTTTATGCAGTCGCTCTGCGTGTTCCAGTAATTCACCAAGCTGGCAATTTGTTGGTGTGATTAGGGCAGTGCAGCAAATCTCAGATGCATTTAATAGGCAATCTCCTGCTTTTTATGTTCACAGAAAAGGTGGTGCTCAAACCTAATGATGTCTCAGTATTTACAACGCTCACCATTAACGGACGCCTGTTTGCTTGCCCACGAGAGCAATTCGATTCACTGGTAGGTGTGGATGGCCTCCTCAGAGCAGCGTCTGCAATCAGAAAAACTTGTCTGCAGCTTAATTTTGCAGTCATGTTGAACCCAGTTGCTAAAAAATCTCGAATGCTACTGGGCTTTTTCCTTGCCTGCGGTCTATGAGGTAAGCCTCAGGTGTTCGTTTGAGATGCTCTGAGCTTTAGATTTTCTTCTATGGAATTGGCCAAGTAGCACCACTCCTGGGGCATCATTCAGCATTCAGAACTCTTTGTTGGAATTCACCTCCTTGAAATGTCCTCAATTCAAGTATTAATATTAAAAACCTGACTACTTAGACTGGGATAGAAATAATTTTGGGACAAGATATTCCAATTTATCAGCCACCTGAGAGGGGTGTAGAAATGCGCTGTGGCAAAGCTTCTCCCCAGTCTATGACAAATGCTGTTCCCCAAAAGTGTTCTGTCTTGTGTAGGAAATACTAGGGACCAGCAGTCTTCCCCAAGTCTCCAAAATGCTTGTTCCCAGCCACACAGAGCTCTCTGTGAATAAAGGATTAATCGGCCCATGCTCATTATTGAGTAGCCCACTCTCTTTTATGCAGGTGGTGGGGTTCATTTCTATTTATCCTATAAAAATTAGGCACGGAAGTGAGTATCTATTAACGTATCTTATAAAGCCTGTGGGGCCAGTGCAGAAAGTAGAGAACTTTTTTTTTTCATCTTTGGACACACAGGGCTTCTTCCCTTAGAAAAGTACAACACAGGAGCTGGAGATGAACTGCATTGCATCTTGCGGGGAGAGTTTAACTGCATAAGTGCTGCATGAATATGTTCAAGTTTTATCAAATTAGACGTTTTAGGGAAATCAAGATTCCCCTCCTTGGACTTTCAGACCTTGTTTTAGAATCATCAAAATTCTGATTTTCTGGTTTGGGGAGAGCCATTTTGTGCACCCTAGCACAATGAAGTGGATTTTTGCAATACCTTGAATTCACCTGGAGAGGAACTTAGCAAATGCAGGATCGGTTCTCTTACTACTCCCTCACCCATTATGGCCCACAAGCACCTGCCTTTCCTCCACCATCAGTGCTGTACGATCTAAGTCTGCTCACTGTCCTTTTCATATATTTTTTAGTCATCTACATTCATTGCTTTCTAAAAAAATAACTATTTCCCAGCTTTGAGGGTTTGGGGAAAAAAATAATGTCATAAATGAGTCATGCTGCTCTCTAGTGGAAATGAAAGCCATCAAAAGCCCATTTCATGCAGCCCTATTGAAGGTGCTGTGTGATGTGTTTGTCACATGGTGCCCAGGCCTCTTCTGCCAGCTGGTTCTTGGCCACGGCGTACAATACTGTGGTGTATAGATGGAGAGTGTGGCCTGTCTCCAGCTCCCTGTGGGGCAGACACTAACTTTTTAAGCCTCTGTTTATTTGCACATCATCTTGCAGCCTTACAGCTTCTCCATCCTTGCTAGTATTCCATTTTAAGGCCTGAGCAATTGAAAGGAGTTTACATGAACTCATTTAACTTCTTCCCTATCGGTGCTCTGCTGTTCCCTGGGCTCTGAGTTATGTCGTCATACCAAGGAGGGGTCGAACCACATCTGCCTCACAAAACTGGCTTTCTAAAGATTTCTTTAAGGACCGTCCTTCTAGGAAGAGACGTACGCAGGATGACTGTGCAGTGCAGAATGTTGGTCCATCAGCACCTACTTAGGAAGTGTCTGCTTTGTGCTCACTGCTGTGCTAGCTTCTGTGTGACACTAGACTGGCATCCCTTATGACAGTTATGGTCACGTGAGGGAGAAGAGACTAACACAAGCAGCCTGGGACAGAACAAAGTGTGGTGTTAAATGGTGCTGTTTAGAATTTGTAGTGTCAGCAATTTACCCTCGTTGGTGAAGGGCTGGGACCCTGGAGCTTTAAAATGTTCTTGACATTTGGTTTAGGAATAGATGTTAGTACAGAGCAAATTTCAACATAATCCCATTGTACTGTGATTTGGTTCTGCTTTTATCTGTTCACTGGTTCCTTCAACTTTTAGTTGGTGTCTACTACATCATTCCAGGCACTGTGGGTGGTTCTGGCTCTGGGATGGCCTTGAAGATGAATCCACCATGATCTTTGTGCTTCAAGGAACTCACAGTGTAATGAGGGACACCGGGGTGTGATGAGAATCCAATGCGACAAATGCCATTGCAGAGCTAGGCACAGAGCTGGTGTCACACAGAAGCTAATACTGTGTGTGGGAGCATGAGGAAAGAAGGACGCTGGGGTGGCAGCTTACTTTAACCATCTCTTTGTCCCTGACGTTCAGCACATCCTTTTTATGTCTTAGTTTCCTCATCTGGAAATTGGGAGGCTAACAGTACTATACTCCCAATCACCACCATCCAAGCTTAATAAAGAAATCAGCCCCCACCCCCAAAAAAACAGAGAGCCTGTGGGGATTCTGTGCTTCCATGTAGGCAGCTTTCAGATCTGTCTGTGCAGTGCAGACCCTACATAAACTCTGCTGTGCCTCATCTGTAGGAAGCTTCCACAGGGATATCTGTGAGAAAATGGCCCAAGGAGATGCTTCTTTGGTCAGCATGTACATTTCCCATGTCAGATGGAGGCGCAGCCGTAGCAGCTCGGATTGCCTCTTCGGAGGTTCCTGGAGGAAATGGGTCAGGCTGCCCTTTGCCAAGGAGGGAGGGGGCTCGGTGAGCTCCACCCACACCCAAAAAGCAGAGATTCAGCAGGCTTTCTGTTATTCTCTTAAAAGGGATGCAGGAATGATAGACCAGCAACCACGAGTGAAATCATTTTAACTATTTCTTAATATTGGCATCGTCCCTGTAGCTGTTGGGTTAATTTACCCCCTCTGAAAAACCCTAAGGCCTCAAGGAAAAGAGATAGGCAGCTAGGCAGATGGAGGGGAGAGCACACCCACAGAACAGAGTGGGAGGGCAGATCCACAGAGGGGCACAGGGCTGGTTCACAGTAGCAGCGGCAAGAAGGAAGTGGGAATGTGGAGAGCCAGTCTGATCCAGAAAGGGGTCCTCAGACCTAGCATTTAAAAACTTTCCCAGCTTTTCTATCTAAGACCCATCCTGCTGGTAACCATTCTCCTTATTTGCTTCCATATGCTACTTGCCATCAGCCTCAGGTGGGTCGCCTAAGTTTCAAAACTTTGGCATCATTGTTTTCTTTCCCTGCTTACTGTCCCTGCCTAGAGTGAATCAGAAACAGCGGTATTTAGCTCTTACACCCCGATGTAGTACTGCGCACATGCTCCTGTTCCTTTGCATTGCTGCAGCACATCGAGAAAGGGAACTAATAGGGGGGAGAGGAGAATGGGGACCTTGTCTGTGCGAGGCCCTGTACTTCTGTGCTACACTTAAATTATTACCATCCCATCCTCTTAACAAGCCTAGGCTAGATACTGTGACCCCAACTTACCAAAGCTGGAAACAGACACCTAGGGGAGTAGGGAATCGATCCAAGTCCATACTTAAGAGTGTGGTATAGATTTAGCGTCATTGCTCTCGAAAGCTGTCACTAACCTGGTCTATTACAAAACCACAGCTCCTCATCCGGTACTCAAAGGCTTTTTAAAAGCTGGTCCATTTGGTTCCCCTGAGCTCTCTGTTCCTGCCAAGCAAGCCTCAGACAGCTTTCCCCATTTTCATGCCTCTCTTGCTGTCTTTTAACCTACAACAGATGACCCTGGATGCTGAGGGAAATCCTTGCTGTTCTAAACCACCCAGAGTTTGCCCGCTTCATCAAGTTTATCCAGCTTCTTTCTCCGAGGAACTCTTCAGGCCATACATTCATTCCAAATGCCCACTGACTGCCCAAAAGCCCGTTCATATTCTCACACCTGTTTATCTGTGTGTCTTGGAGTCAGATGTGTGTTGATGCCTCTGTCTGTCCCTTTATACGTGCAGATGAATGCCAGCAGCTGACCTCAGCAGTGTGCAATGTGGTACTTGGTGGTCAGGGCTGACTCCTTTCTTAGACTGCCCACTTTCCAATGCAGGGACCACCTACATTCTGAACGTGTAATTTCTTTAGACTGCAGTGGGCATTTACAGAACCTAACAGTTGAGAGTGATGATTGTAATGATGACGCTAGAACTTGCACAATATTAGTACTTCTAACCTAAATATTGAATATCCAAATAAGATATGCATGATATTAGGGAAATTCTCATTCAATTCATGTGACTTTTATCACTTTGTACATATATTATAGATCAATAGGTATTATCAATATTTTATACATAGGTTTCCAATGTGTGCAAATCATTCATCTTACTAAGGAAAGCACCATAAATCATTTCTCATAAAATGAAAAGAAATCAGTAAGTTGGATGGAAAGTTCTGGCTGAGGGTCTTCCTGAGAGTAGCAGAGTTTGGTTTTCTGATGCCTGGGCCAAAACACCATGACTTTGTAAATATCATTCTTAGCACACTATCTCCCATAGCATGGATGAATTAGGCATCCTATGTAATCTCAGTAGACAGAGCCCTCTGTCACCTAGTAACCCCAGGCAATGTGTTATAAGGTTGCAGCAACTTTACCACAGTCTCCAGCCCCTGCAGTAGTAAGAAGTAATTAGCACTGTGACTCAATGTCCCAAACTGACGCCGGTACCTGCTTGGGAACAGCTTCCCTGGGAAATAAGAGGGAAAAAGTCTCCAGGAACTTCTTCCATCTTTACCAGGGAAAAGGAATTGTTTCCAGAGAATTCCCAGACCCAAGCAGAAGACAACCTCCATAGGTCCCTCTCCTCTGAACCTTATTTGTCACGGTCATGTTTTTCAGTCGGTGGAATTGATTATAGTGACTATGGTGACTATAAAGATGGCACCGAAGCAAGTGAGCATTAAGAGGAAAGGCATCTTTCTCCTCTGGGTAAAATCAAAGTTTCAAGCTATTCCTGAGCCTTTCCAAAATCCTTTCCCCTCAGCAACTCCTTAAAGTGTTCAGCATTAAGTACTTGTCTCTTCTGAGATTCTGATATATTTTTGCATGATTATTCATAGACTCCCTTGCCAGAACAGGAAGGCCCAACTGTTGGAACAGTGGGAACTTTTGAACTGATGAGCTCGAAAGATTTAGCATACCAGATGACAATTTATGATTGGGAACTCTTCAACTGCGTGCATGAGGTAAGCTGCTTGATTGAGAGCATTAGTAGGTACCACAGCAATTCCGGATGGAGCCTGCTTGCATTGCTCAACTGCAAATGTTAATACATGCTGCAATATGGAAGCCACATGATCGTTTTGTTTTTTTAATATTGCATTTATTAATAAAGCCTGTCATAAAGTCTTTGAGTGTTAAAGAAAAATCTTGATGATTTACTGTAAGCTATGTCTTTCTGAGCATATTCAGCCAACGGCACCCAGTTGATCATTAGATATTTAACAAGCCTCATGGAAGCCCTTCACATCCATAGTGTAAGCCAAATCCTGGTCAGCAATTGCGTTCCCATTTGCTGACCCCTGTCAATTTGTCTTGACAAATAAAGAAGCCTCGCTGGTGTTTTGATTGCAAAACAAAGAAGTGAAATTGTTTTCCTTTTCTTTTCTAGCTGGAGCTAATCTATCACACATTTGGAAGGCATAATTTTAAAAAGACCACAGCAAACTTGGATTTGTTCCTGAGGAGATTTAATGAAATTCAGTTTTGGGTTGTCACTGAGATTTGCCTTTGTTCCCAGCCCAGCAAGCGTGTTCAGCTCTTAAAAAAATTTATTAAGATAGCAGCCCAGTAAGTACCATTAGCTTGGGAAGAGAAAAGTGGTTGAGCTGCATTTTCATTTTTTTCTCAGACAACACCTTACAAAGAAAAGCAGGACATTGGATCTTCCTTGTGCACAAGGACTAGCCACCAGGGGTTTAAGAATAACCAAACTGTTGGAAAAGATGCATTATGTCAATTCTTGTCGTATTTGACATCAGTATATAAACTAACATCTTACAGCACTGATTCTGGAGTCAAAATCGTGACCTGTTTTTGCTCTGAACTCCTCAGACTGTGTGCCTCCTTCAGTGTAAAGAGTCCTTCAGCAGAGTTCTTGTTGCAGAAAGTTCTAAGAGGCCCTTCAAGGCCGAAGGCCAACATGACACGTTCTCGCCAGTAGAGGGCAGTGGGCACATGTGTGAGCAACAGCACATCCAACTCCGCCAGAATAAAATCAGTAATATGCGTGAAGGCGAGCTAGCCTGGTACATGAAAATCGTCTCCATAAACATCAGAAAAAGCAAGCATCTTATACATATTCTATTTAACAGCACTTCATGGGAAACAATTTAGTTACTGCAGGGGCCAGTTAGATTTCTCCCTGACATGAATTTAATCTTCTCCTGCTATTTAGATATGCCTGACAACCTCCTGTTTACATCCGTGTTTTTGGTATCACCACACGGCTAAAAATAAGTGGCTAAATGCGGCCCCTGGCTGGGAGACTTCTTTCCTTTCTAAATGCAGGGAGCTCGAGAGCACGGGAAGGTGGGGAACACAAGTGACCTCAGCTCAGCAATTTTTTTGAGCCAAATAGTTCAGCTCACATACAGAGTCTGATTTCCAGACCTAAACAAAGAAGTAAAGGCTGCTTGACATTTTATACCTACCGGCTTGCCAAATGCTTTGCGTTACTCTGCCAAAAATTTGAGGGTTCCACACAGCATCCAAATCCTCTGGATTCAAATGTTGGTATCTCTTAATTTGGAAAAGCTGTCCTTTTGAAGAAAGATTTGGTAAAAGGTTGCTTAAGAATTTCTGGTGCCGAGTATAGCCACGTCCCCTAGGAGGCTGAACAGCCTTGTTGCAAGGAACAAATGCCTTCACATATTTAGAAGGCGGTGATTATGGAAACTGTGACAATATGTGCTTTCCCATTATAAGGAACACATTCTCTCTTCACCTCAGCCTGGCCGTGCCAAGTGCAACAAGGAAACAAGAGAGTCAGTCTGCACACAAACGTGAGAGATCAGAAAACCTCGTGGGTCTAATCCTGTTATTTACGGAGGCAGCATAGGAGAGGCTTTCAAAACCTCTGGAATTTTTAAAAAGTTTTTGCCTTTCTTAATGTCCCTTCTTTCTGATTATGTGAACGAGTCGGTGGATTGGGTTTCAGTATTAATTGGTTTATATTATTTAACCATTGTGAAGCCGTACTGCCCTATGGCGGCCCTGTTTACACAGCCCAGCTGGAGACGATTGCAGGCTTTCATAAACCAAGATCTATAAGAATGAGCTCTAAACCTAGTGGCAGTAGCATGTTTTGTGTGGTATTTTCAGAGAAAATGCATATTCTTTTTAAGCTCTTTGACTTGCCCAGAACTTTGTGAAGGTAGGTGGAGGTCCAAACGTTATCGTCCCCTTTTACAGATGAAGACACTTGAGGCACAGAGAAATTTCGTGATTTATTTAGGGTGATAGAGTTAGATGCTAACGGTGACCAGAGCAGTGACCACAAAGGCAGGTCTGCAGTCCTGCATGTTTCCTTTGAGATCACAGAGACAGGACAAAGGCAAACACAGGTACATGATCATACCCACTGCCTTCAGCCCCCGGGCTCTGAAATTGCTGTGAGCCACTGTCCTTACACAGCAGAGGCCTCGCTTGCTTTCTCACGGGTGGGATCAGATACACTATAGCTTCCCTGAAATCTGTTTTCCCATTTCCACACAGACTATTTAAGAACCACTCATTGCTACCTCTGCAAGGAAAACAGAGGCAGCAAATGCAATAATTTAATTAGCTTTTTACAAAAATGTTAATCCAAGTGGGATTTAATTATAATATAGTCAACTTAGATAACCACATTGATTTGGGGTAAAGGATTTGCACTTATTGCAAAATGAATTCTTTCCCTTTTCGAAGAGCTGGAATAAAGTTGGGGTCTCTTCTCTCTCTTTCTCTCCCTCCCCCTTTCTCTCCCTCCCTCCCTGCTTCCCTCCCTTTTCCTTTTAAGTTAATCCAAGTACCTGGGCTAAATATTGCCATTCTAATAAGAATCTTTGGACTTGTTCCACGGTATTCCCAAATATATATTTATAAAGGTTAACAGTGACATAAGTACAGATTCAAAATGATCAGTTTCAAACACATCAGTGAAACACAGAGAAGATAAGGGTTTTTGTGGGGGATTTTTTTATCAGTTGCTTAGATTATTTTTTCTCAGCTTTAAAACTCCTTGAGCCCATAGGGATTGTGACCTGTAAATTGTTATTTCTCAACAGATTAGAAGCATTTGCATGGCAGGTAGAAGTCCTGGTGGCTGCAGCAGTGTGATTTTCGTAGTTCCCTTTCAAGCTGCTAGAGGAGGTGCTCAGCTTCAGACTAAAAATCTGCACGTCTTCAAGGACATTTTGCCTTCTCTCTTCCCTTCCCATGAGATGTTTCCCTCCAGGCCCAAGCTTTGGGGGTCATAAAAACAATCCCTAGGGTGGATGCCTTTAAATTCCTTCTCAAAACCTGGACTTAGCTGGCCAAAACCATCACCTTTCTCAAAGTACAGTGAGAAATCAAACAGCAGAACGTGGTCACCCAAGTGGAACTTACACAGTGCATTAAATCTGTCATTGCCTGTTCCTATAAAGGAGCCCTGATGAATACTAATGACTATCAGAAAGTAGAACTCGAATGTTTTTTAATCTCCCTCAAAAGTGGTGTTTTACTCAAACATGTGCCTCTTGTGTTTCAGCTGTAAGGAGTACAAAAATCTGAATTCCTTCTTTGCCATCGTCATGGGACTAAGTAATGTTGCTGTGAGCCGCTTGGCACTAACGTGGGAGGTAAGCTTCAGCAGAGATCCCGCTGTGACTTTCGCCTTAAGAAGAAAAACACAGGTTCACCAGTGAGCTTTCTGTATAGAAATATCACTCACAGTTGTGTAACAATGGAAAAGGTGGGACACCTTGAGGGAGGTGACCTGTCCCCTTTTTCTAGTTGCCTCAGAGTGTGCATTTAAAGAGGCATTGTCATTTTGTTATATGGGGGGGCAGGAGGGGGTCTCAGCGTCTTGGCCTATGCAATGTAAATAATAACAAGCCTAGTTCCTAGGTGTACCCCGGGGTCAACAACATTGCTTAGGTGACTTCAAAGGTTTTGCTCATTGATTCTATTGTTCTCTGGAATATCTGCTTATTGCTTTTGCAATAAGCTTTATCTATAATATATAAAGAAAGGACAACAGATTCATTTTTATCCAAGTAGTCATGTTGCTCCTGGGAGAATTAGCCAGCAGGACAACTGTTTGGCCCAGCAGAGTACTAAGTATCTTCACCTCCTGGCAGACCTCTCTGTGTAACATGGAGGAACAGCAGTTGGCTAGTATTCCATTTAGGACAAAAGTTATGCAGGTGTCTTGTGAATTTCTGCAACAAATATGATTAATAGTTTGTTCATAGTTGGTCATTCGTGCTAGAGAACATCTTCATTTTTCATTAGCTAAGTACTAAAAATGTGCCTAGCCCCTTACATGTGGGATACAGTAAAAAAAAATACTAACCTCTAATAGAACGTACACACAAAAATAGACTCTTACTAAAAATAAAAAAGTATGTGTAAGTGGAACACAAAAAGAGGGCAAGAAGTAGATAACAGAGACTTAACTCTCAGTGGTGCTCCGAGGCAGCTGTTTGCATCTCCAAGTGTTTTCCCTTTAACCTTTCCTTCCCCACACTTCCCTGCAGAAACTGCTTTCTTCAACGGAAACATTGTTTATAGGGCAGGTCCTCACAAATCCTTCTGTCTTGGTTTTTCTCTTAAAATTCTAGGCAGATGCAGCACACAGCCGCTCATCCCCTGAATATAGGAATGAGGGAAGTGGGGAGGCCCGCGTGCCACGCAGCTGTATCGTCTTCCCACCTACCGAAAGGACACAGTTAGTGCTGCCAGTAAATCTGAGCACTGGAGCCCTAGTTCAGGCTCACCTGTCTTGTAGCCCACAGCTCTTGGAATCTCTGGAGACCTAGGGTTTCCTCTCAGATAGTCTGTTTCCAGCTCCTGATTCCAACTCCTGATCCCCGCCCCCGCCCCCGCCCCAGAGTCTAAATGAGTTGGCTGAGACCATCAAAGAAGCATAAAGCCTCATGGGGGCCCGGGAAGGCCCAGTGTAGGCACCACATGACAGCAGCCAAAAATTAAGGCTCTAGCATGTGGGAAACACTATTAGAGTCCCCTTTCAGGGTCTAAAGAGAAACATGGAGGCTGCGTGGGGGTGGGGTACAGTCAGCAAAGGAAGAGAGGTCACTGGCCAATCCTTCAGCCTCACGTGGAATAGGAAAGCATCTGTCATTCTCTGAGCTTCCGTTTACACCATTGCATGTTGCCTATAAAAGATTAACCTTGCATAATTTGTAAGCCTGCATTTTTAAAGGTGAAATGTAATTATGTCATTCAGTAGGTATAACTTTCATTCATAAGAGCTTAGATTTGGGCTTATCTTACCTGTATTTGCTGAGTACCTCCCAAGGGCTTCCCGTACAACTCCAGTGAGAACCATGATGGCTGCATGAGCCGTGTGGGAAATAATGCGTAGCCTCCAGGAACTATAGAACCATGTGAAACTGTCCATGAAAAAAAAAACCCAACCAAAAAAAATAAATAAAATAAAATAAAGTTAAACCACATGTCAAAGAAAATGGACCAAAATAGAAGGGAAAGATCAATCTGAGATAAAGCAAATGGCAATGTAGCCTGGCTCAGTTTCTTGGCCCCAGCAGTGTTGACATTTTGGACAGGATAATTCTTTGTTGGGGGGGCTGTCCTGTGCATTATAGGATACTTAGCAGCATCCCTGGGCTCTACCTACTGTGTACCAGCAGCACCTGTCACCTCATGCCACTCCAGATGTGACAACAAAAAATGTCTGCAGATATTATCAAACGTCCCCTGGGGGGGTGGGTACAAATTTGCCCCCATTTGAAAACCACTGCCCTGGAAGCATGGGGTGTGGACAGATAATAGTATTAGGACCCACAAAAAAAATTTTTTTATTTAAATAGGTCCTCCTGCCTTTGACCCAAAAGCCAGCGAAGTCAAGAAAGAGAACTAGTATAACAGATCTAACCAAAAATGTAATTCATTCCTAATTTTCGAAATAGTCTGTGTTCATGGAAAAATTATCGCCTATCATGGTGATTTGGATACTCCATGTGGGATTAGATCCTCGCATCTCTTGATGCCTATACCAGCTTTCACCCCTTTAAACATTTCCTTCAAACAAGGATACTGGGTTTCCCTGAATCCTACCTTGAAAATAGGTGCTAGGAAAATAAGTTATTTTACAGTGTTGACTTAGGAATATTTAAACTGATTCAGATATGAGGGGAAAAGAAGAGAGGAGCTTTTTTGTGGGTGGCAGAGGCCTCATTGATGAATCAGTTATTGACATGACTTCATTGTGCGAAGCCGAGCTGAACTGGGAATCCCTGAGGCCCGGGACTCGGCTAGTGCTTCCACCGTCTCAGGATGGGAACGCTATCACGCTGTTCTGTCTTGAAGTGGCCCAGTCAGAAGAGAGAGAAGTTCAGCATTACCAAAAGCTTAGGACCTAAGCAAAGTGTGATTGAAAGATGTTTAAGTGTTGACCTACTGGTATAGACACATGGGAACAGTTAGTGGTGTCGAATCGTGTGCCAAAATATAAACATGAGAAATTACGAAATTGATGGAATTATTGATTTTTGTTTCCTAGCAGGGCAGAGAAATCATGTGGGAGAAAAGCTCGTGTAGAAAAGCACAGAGCATGTAAGGAGAGGCAGTAGAAAAGGAGGCAGGTGATGTGAGTTACAGAGACTGTGACCGTCATCAGCTGTGTGATTTTGGGCATGGCACGTAAGCTGTGAGACTTAATTTTTCCCATCTATGAAACGCAAGTTTAATCCAGTCAAATAAATATTTACTGAGCACCTACTATGTACCTGACACTCTTTTCGGTACTAAGGATAAAGCAATAAACAAAACTGATACAAATCCCTTTTCTCATGTAGCTTGCATTGTGAGGGAGAAGCAGGGTTGAAATAGGAAATTTCTAAAACTTAATCCTAATATTCTCTGATCTAAATTCCCAATTGTGGGAATCGGACAGTTAAAGGTGTTTCCAAAATATTTGTAATCTGGCAATGTAGTCTTCTTATGAATAATTCATTTTAGAAAACATTGTAAAAGCAGTAAGACTAAAGCATCCATAGTTACTTTTGGTTCAACTAGGTTAAGACTTCTACAAGGTGAGTTCTCTATATCCCAAAGATTGTCCGCAAATGACAAGACACATTAGTCTGTCCTGCCCTAGAGACGTTTGATTAAAAGCCAAAAGAAATACACTTCCCCTAGAAATGGTAACACATAATACCCGTCTAGATATTGAATCTGACATACGAGTGTGGCATTTTCATTTCATTAACAGAAACTGCCAAGCAAGTTCAAGAAGTTCTATGCGGAGTTTGAAAGTTTAATGGTAAGTGACAGTGGCTATTTTATTCTGTTCACTGTCCACACTAATCCAATTTCTGATGCGCTGAATTGAAGTTCTCATTTCAGAAATTTTATCTGTCCTTGTATGACTTTAAGAAGTTTATGATCCCGTTTTAGTGCTGCTAAAACAAGCATGTCTGACTAATGAATGGCACCCTCAGGAACTAACTTAAAGAGGACTTATGCCCCACATAAGGTCAATTTGTGTAACTAAAAAAAGCAGTGTAATGGAATCTTTGCCATCTAGCATGGGTTGGGTATGGGTTGGGAGCTGCGTTTTTCTTGGCTTGCCAAAATTATTTTTCCCCACTGGCTGGGAGGTGTTCACAGACAGGAAGGAATGATTGGGACTTCTCGGGAGTGATGGGATGGTTTCCGATAGGGCAAGTTGAGACTGGCTGTGTGAAGCGGAGAAGAGGGTGATGCAGCTCTCGTGGTTACTGTTTGTTTTGCACCTTTCATATTTGCCGTCAAAGGAACCTCACCCCTTGATCTCTATTTGTAAACCTCCCTTTCAAACAAGAAAGGAAAACAAAAAGTGAATTATTTCCATGTTATGCATGAAGTTGTTTTAAAACACATACCAATTTGTTTAACGAAGTCCTACCTTTGTTTTGTAGCTACACTTGATTCCAAGCAACCTGGTGGTGGCGTGACAGGGCTGGGTGTGTTAGGAGGTCGAGGGGGTGGTGTGTGTGTCATTAATGGTTAATTGTCCTCTCTGTTTCTCTGAAGGATCCTTCAAGAAACCACAGAGCCTACAGGCTGACAGTAGCTAAGTTGGAGCCTCCTCTCATCCCCTTTATGCCTTTGCTCATTAAAGGTAATTCTAAGGAAATGCACAGGTCATGCCAGTGATGAATGTGTGTGTGTGGGGGGGGGGAAGAGATGAACAAAGAGCCTAATCAGATCGGGCTCTTTGGGAAGAGTGAACTCATCCTTCCAACACTCTCCATCACCTCCTCTCAGACCTGACTTCTTAGAGGGCTGGGAAGATTATTGGAGGAGCAGGAATCCATCATTTGGGAGGCTTGATAGTGAAACAGAGAGTTCGTTGGGAAATTGTACTAGTCTCAGGTAAAGTGCCTTAGAAAGTTAAACCCCTAACATAAAAGGAACGATTATCAGCTTTTTTTCAACTGCAGTGTTATGCAAATTCTCCATCATAATCTAATGGTGCTATTGTGATTTCTTAGTAGGACATATTTCTATTAGTGATTAGAACGTGACTTTTATTTTTTTGCAGATATGACATTTACTCATGAGGGCAACAAGACGTTCATTGACAATCTAGTAAACTTTGAAAAAATGGTAAGTACAGTATTATAACCTTAACCGTTGTGTTATTTTTTTAAAATAAAATTTGCATGTGTACTAATAAAGGAAATAATTTCCATATGTGCTGCCATGTTAAAAAGGTAGTTCCACATAAAGGAGTTTTGGAATATTTGGTTCAAATTGGCTACCTATTTTAGTCTGTCAGTTCTCTTTTGTGAGGTTGAATAGTATTTGTGCTGCAGCTCACAGCAGCAGCTAGCTTTTATGCTCTGTGCTTCGTCCTTGGCTGCCTGTTGCTAAAATGCGCGAACGCTCCCGAGCGACATCCATGTTGTTGTTTTGTTGTAAGGTTTGTGGCGCTAGACTGCCCCAGGATGCCTTTGAAATGTTTGTCTGCTGAGCCTGATTTCAGCGCATGTAGGTAAAAAGCAACTCAGTAGCTGATCTTTATTATTGCGTATTAATCTAAATGTGTATTGTTTATTCCACTAAAGTTCGCCCAAGTTCAGAGAGGGAAGTTGAAACAAGATTTTTTTTAAGTAGCAGATGTGGAACTGGCACATATTCATAAATTTCCAGTGGTTTCCCCTGAACCCCCTCTCCCTCCAAAAAAAAGCTGTGTTATCTGGCATTAGTTACTCTGCATTTATTTTCTTATCTTCTGTGAAGCAATAAAGCAGGTTCTGCCAAAACCTTTCTTTAGCTACATAGTGCGTGTTAATGGAATGCTCCATTGTCTTCTGAATCATTTGGCTGCAGCGTGGATGGATGGGGTGTCACAGTGTCATCTCTGTGAGTGAGCATCTGCCCGGGACGATGGTTTATGGTGGTAACTGTGGCACTTGCAGGAGAAGCTCAGGACTGAGAGTTCAGTAGACCTGAGGTCAGTTCCCAGCGTGATCACTTTGCAGGTCCCCTGACTTCTCTGCAGGTCAGTTTCCCCTACAGAAAGTGGGGATCATGCCTGCTCCACCCATTTCTGGAGATTATTGGTGGGTCCAGAGTGTATAAGTATCCCTTTAAGCCATACAAGCCATATAGTGCTATATAAGTCTTATCAGAAAACTGTTCTTCTATTTGTATCTTGAAACCCAGATAGTACATATGACTTCAGGAGAACTCGAAACATTCAGCAATCATCGTATAAGGCTCACACCATTTAAGTTTGGGAATGAGCTATGGCAAAGCCCAGCCTGATAAAGAATTGTAGCAGTTGCTGGGCATTAGGTTCCCACGTCTTAAGCGTCTTAAGAAATAGCACATGTGGGCCAGCCGAGTGGTGCGGTGGTTAAGAGCTGGCTTCGGACGCCAGAAGGCGCCTGTTCGGATCCCACATATGAGGGCCAGTGACACTGCCCTCTACAGCTAAGAGGCTGAACAACAGTTCAACCTGGAGCTGGGCTGCCGTGAGTCGCCAGCGACAGTGTAGGCTGCAGCCCTGCTGCAGTTGGTTGTCATGGGCTACCGTGTGTAGCCAGCAGCCAGCGTGAGTAGCCAGCAGCCGCAGTGAGCGGCCGTCCAGAAGCCGGCGACTGATCTGCCTCACCCAGGAAGAGCGCAATGATGGTGCCAACTTGGGCCAGTGAAGCAACATCCTCCACAACTAGACTGAAGAACAAAAGGACAGCAACTTGTCTGTTCCCCTTCCCCCAGTTCCCCAGCACTGTTCCAATTCCTCAATAAAAGAAATTTTAAAAAAATAGCACATGAGTCCGCACTCCTCAAAGACACTCTAAACTAGAGGGCAAATAGTAGCTGCCCCAACACCAAGGGCAGGGTAGGAACACATCTAGTAGCATGTAGGTTTAATAATTCTTTGACAAAGTAAAAAACATTCTTGGCTCACTTATTAGTATGGAGAAGTAAACACATTTCCCTGATTTCTCAAAAGAAAACTTGTTTTCCAAAAATGAAAAATTTAGCAAATGGGCAGAGAACCTTCTGGATCACTTATGCAGAAATGCAGACTGAGGGTGGCTAAGCCAACCATTTGACTATAAAATAAACATGTACACAGACACATCAAAGTCAGGTTTTCCTAAGGAGTTGACTGAGCTTTAGAACTTTTGATCATTAAACTAAACAGAACAAACAAGAACCGCAAAAATATCCATTGAGGAGGATGAAAGTTATTTCATCTGGGTTTTTAGATCTTCGTGTCACACCCATAACCTGCAAAGGAAAAGTCAAGATTTTATTCAGTGGACATTAAGAGGGCTCCCCTTCCCCATTTCTGCATTTTGTTGCCCACAGCAGTAGATTCTTATATGTCTGGCAGTGAGGACAGAGGCCCTTCACATGCTGCTCTCAGACAGAGTCCACTTTTTGCTTAAAAGCTACTGGAATGGCTAAGATAGCAGTTCAGCTGAGATAACAGAAACCCAAATTAACGGTGGGTTAAGCAAGATAAATATATTTCTATCTCACTTAGAGGTCCAAGCGCGTATGGTAGCTCTGATCCAGGAAGTGGTCAAAAGCTCCAGGCTTCTCTTACCATTTCACCATCCACATGCTCCAACATGGTGGACCACCAGGACCCTATTCCAGCCAGAGGGAAGGGAAAAGGGAAAAGGCGAAGACATTCTTCTTCCCTGTAAGGATATGACCTGAGGTTGCACTTATACCACTTGGCTGACATTTTATTGGTCAGAAATGTAGTCATATAAAAGAAGAATTAGAATATGTAGCCTTTATATTGGGTATCCATGTGCCCCATTGAAAATTAGGAGGTTCTATTACTATGAAAGAGAAGGGGAGAAAGGATACTAAAAGAGTACTGTTCTCTCCTCCAACTACTATAAATTTTATTTTATTTGATGAATCAACCATGCCATGCAAAAGATTAATTTTGCAATTGCCCTTCCATGAGTTAGATGTTAATGGAAACTGAAATAGAATTTTAAAACAATTTGGTTATGTTTTTTAAACGTGGCTTTGACCAACCTGGCACGTGTTGTCAACTTTCCAACCCTTTCTCCCCATAAACTAGCCCACCCTGCCCGCATACCACCACCACTACCACTTACAACTCCCACTAGTGGCTGCTGTTCTTACTGCGTGTCCTTGGGAAGGATGCATCTCCCTTTTCGGGTTCATGTCCATGCTCCTTCCCAGTCAATCACTGGCAAGGCCCAGGTGATGAGCAGAGCTGGCAGCCTTTGTGGGGCTGATAGGCTGTATCCCCAGAGGGAGTCCTGGCCAGGGGCAAAAGTCACCAGGGTAGCCAGGAACACAGATGCCTTTTCTTGGTGGCAGCATTGCACAGTCAGAGCAAACTACCCTGCCAACCCTAAGTATTTTTATTTTGAACCTCTTCACCCTTGAGGTATGAAATGAGGATTAGAGAATTTGTTGCATATTGGTTTTCAGGATTTATGAGTATGAACAAAAGAGAATTCACACTCTGATCCTTATGCAAAAAAAAAAAGGCAGACATTCTTTCATTTGGGGGGAACATAAAGGAGTATTCAAAAAAATGTTTGAATAAAGCCCTTTGTAGTTTTCTATGGCATACATGAATATTTATAACATTTAGGAGGTAGACTAGCAATGGATTAGAGGATAATATGCTGGCCGACTGCCACTATCCCAGGCTGCATAAAGCATGCTGAAAGCCACAGTTGCTACTGTATTAGGAGGTTGGTTCTATTTCAGACATACCCATATTTAGGTGTATTTGTTTATGAATATTATTTTAAGGTAGTCATTTTATTTGGAATGAGAAGCATGGTGCAAACTTCTGTACTTCTGGAAACATTAACAGACGCTAATTCATTAAGAAAGAGAAATGTTTTGAATCATTTTATTTTTATATTGTGGAGGAAGAGAAAAATTCCCTTCCCCTCTTGATTCTTATGGCTGGTGGAATAATTAAAATGACATAATCTTAACAGGAGAAAATCAAATTTAATATGTATGTACGGGGAATTCACATAAGCATGACAAATTCCAAAGACAGTAAAGCATTAGGAGGTATAGATGTCATTCTGGACTAAGGAGAAGGAGGTAGGGACTTCAGAGAGAAGTAAAGCAATTCGTGGGGAGATGAAAAGAGTTCATGTTTAGTAAACAAATGTTTGCTGGGACATCTAGAGACAGTGGGACACCAAGAGGTCTTCGATCAAACGGGCTTTGCTAGGTTTCTCCCTGTCTATCACACCTACTTCAGTTCAAACTGTACAGTTGACCCTTGAACAGCATGGGTTTGAACTGCATGCACCCACTTATATGCGGGTTTTTTCAAAAAACAGCCAACCCCCCATATCTCCGGATTTCTATCAATGGATTCAACCAACCACAGTTGAAACAGTATTTTTGATCCATGGTTGAGAATCTGTGGATGCAGAGGGTCAACTGTATGCATTGTTCTACACTATTTTATAGAAGGGACTTGAGCATCCATGGATTTTGTTTATCTGTGGGGACCCTGGATCCAATCCCTTATGGATACTGAGAACCAACTGCAGTTAACTTTTGGTGGGGGAGGGTCTAAAATTATATGCAGATATTCGACTGCAAGGAGTTAGCAGCCCTAACCCCCATTTTTAAGGGTCAACTGTGGTTATCCATGGTAATAGCTCCTTCCTGTAACAAGCTTTCTACCTTAAATTCTTTTAGGCAGTTATGGGGACAGTCAAAGTTTCTTCCTAAGCCTTCTGGACCTTAACCATAACCAGCTTAAAATAACCAATGTCCCAAAGAATCATATATTGGGGTTACAAACTCTGTTCCCCTTCAGTACACCTAATCATGCAATTGCATAATTAGCAACAATATGTTTTCTGTCACCAATAACACTATTACAAGTTCATGGAGAGAGCATTGGACTTATATCAAGCTATAGAAAAAAGAATCTCCAAATAAAAATCTAAATGTTGAAATCCATCTAATTCCCAGACCTTTCCAACACAATAGAAATCTGCAAGAGGACTTTGAAAGTTTACTTCTTCATATAGAACTCATGGACTGGGCTGAATGCAGATTTCTCAAAGGGTATGTTTCAAAGCAATACAATATGTGTAAAGTGTCCAGGC